CTTGGCGCCGCGGCTCTACTTCGTGCGCTCGGTCCCTTTCGGGCTCGGCCTTCCCCCGTTCGTTTGCGTGACATGGGATGCAGAGGAGAAGAGTGCCGCGAAAGCCGTCAGTGGGTGTTGGAGAATTAATGAATCTTTCTCATTTCCGAGTGAAGCGCCCCGCCGAGACCCCAGGGCTTGTAAGGTGTAGCCGAAACGCGGGCTATGGCCCAGATGGGAGTGAGACAAAAGCACGCTTTTGAGCCGTGTTCTTTCTTTTGCTTTTCCAGCGGAGATAAAAATGCCGAGCGGCAACGTAGACAAGCCCACCATCGAGGACAACCGCGATGGCACCGTGTGCGTGCGCTACGAGCCTCGCGAGGAGGGCCTCCACGAGCTGGCCGTCAAGTACAACGGTGAACACGTTCAGGGTGAGTACGACGGGGAGGTGCTGTCGCTCAACCCCACAGACAGGCCTCGCTAACGCCGCGTCTCGTTGCCCCACAGGCTCTCCCTTCAAGTTCCACGTGGACTCACTCAGCAGCGGCTACGTGACCGCCTACGGCCCCGGTCTCGTCCATGGCGTGTGCGGCGAGCCCGCCAACTTCACCATCTCGACAAAGGGCGCCGGTGCCGGCGGCCTGTCTATGGCCGTGGAGGGCCCCAGCAAGGCGGAGATCAGCTGTCACGACAACAAGGACGGCACCGTGTCCGTGTCGTACCTGCCCACCGCCCCCGGCGAGTACAAGATCACCGTCAAGTTCGGCGAGAAGCACATCAAGGGGAGCCCCTACAACGCCAAGATTACCGGCGAGGGCCGCAAGAGGAACCAGATCTCGGTGGGCTCCTGCAGCGAAGTGTCCCTCCCCGGAAAGGTGACCGACCAGGACGTCCGCTCTCTCAACGCCTCTATCCAGGCGCCGAGCGGCTTGGAGGAGCCCTGCTTCCTCAAGAAGCTGCCCAACAACAACCTGGGTAAGTGCAGGAGCCAGTCGCGCCCGCCGGGGCAACCAGGAAGGAGTTCCACGAGGGTTGTCTGATGCCATGTCGTTGTTCTCGCAGGTATTTCCTTCACGCCCCGTGAGGTAGGCGAGCACGTGGTGTCCGTCAAGAAGATGGGCAAGCACATCACCAACTCGCCCTTCAAGATAACGGTGGCCGACAAGGAGGTGGGTGACGCCAAGAAGGTCAAGGTGACTGGCAACACGCTCAAGGAGGGCAAGACCCACCAGGACAACACCTTCACCGTCGACACGCGTAATGCAGGTAAGACCAACGCCACGCAGCCACGCACCATACTTCTCTTCCATTTCCTTTCCCTTTTCCTGAATAAATCTTTAATTACCATTGGGTTTTATGGAGCGCCCCCTTGCTTTCCCTCTTTTTTACCGCCTGCTCTTGTCGTTTTTCACATGCACTCGCATTTTGGATTTTCTGAAGAGTGAGTAGCGTTGTCCACCTAGAGGGCGATTTCTTGTAGCGGTGACCGTGACCCTGCTTTGTTCTACCCTGCCCAGGCTACGGCGGTCTGTCCCTCTCCATCGAGGGCCCCAGCAAGGCTGAGATCCAGTGCCAGGACAAGGAGGACGGCACCCTCAACATCTCGTACAAGCCCACCGAGCCCGGCTACTACATAGTGAACCTCAAGTTCGCCGACCACCACGTGGAGGGCTCGCCCTTCACCGTCAAGGTGACCGGCGAGGGCAGCAACCGGCAGCGGGAGAAGATCCAGCGCCAGCGCGAGGCGGTGCCCATCACGGAGGTCGGCTCCGAGTGCAAGCTGACGTTCAAGATGCCGGGCGTCACCTCCCTGGACCTGTCCTCGACCGTCACCTCACCCGGCGGCGTGACGGAGGACGCCGAGATCAACGAGGTGGAGGACGGCCTGTACGGCGTGCACTTCGTGCCCAAGGAGCTGGGCGTGCACACCGTCTCCGTGCGCTACAAGGACATGCACATCCCCGGCTCGCCCTTCCAGTTCACGGTCGGCCCCCTCAGGGACGGCGGTGCGCACCGCGTGCACGCGGGCGGTCCCGGCCTCGAGCGCGGCGAGGCCGGCCAGCCCAGCGAGTTCAACGTCTGGACCCGGGAGGCGGGCGCTGGCTCGCTCGCCATCTCCGTGGAGGGTCCCAGCAAAGCTGAGATTGACTTCAAGGACCGCAAGGACGGCTCGTGCTACGTCAGCTATAGAGTGGCCGATCCTGGTGAGTGAATAAGGGCAGGGTGCATTGGCTGGCGAGCACAAGGCTGTCGGTCACGCTGGCGGGTAATGCAGCCTTGACTAGTCCGGGTCCCGGGCGGGGCGGGGCGGGGCGGGCTGCATTTAGCGCTGTCCGCCTAGCAACAGGTGGATGTCCAACATTTGCCACTGCTAAAGTTAGATTCCACGATGCGGGAGGGAGGCGGATGGAGGGGATGAAGCGAAGGTGTGAAACTGGGGGAGCGATGCGTCACCGCTGGGGAGAGGCAACCCCCTCCCCCTGCTTCCCCCTCCCTACCCCTCCATCCTGCTTGCGAGGGCGGCGTGGCGTGGCGCAGCGTTTTGGCGCGCAGGGAGCTCTGTCAGTCGCGACCAGGTTGTGGGCAGCATGGGCGAGTTCAAAACTCAGCCGTTCAAGACGTTCAAAGTGTGTCAGCAGATCGACCTTTCGGGCGGGAACGCGTCTCCAGAGCGAGATGAAGGTGAGACTGTCGCCTCTACCCTTTTCTTTCCAAGTCAATGGTGTCTTTCACATCTCTTGCCCCAATGCAAATGGCATGTATGTTGTCCCCTTTCATCCTTTAACCGCCGTTGAACTAAGGGAGCAGGAAGACTTCATAAAATCTAGTTTTGTTTTTAAAATTAGCAAAGATTATTTACCCTCATTACTTAAAGAGAGCCTTGTACCTTCCGACAATGATTAAATGTGAATGATTAACTTATACATTATGCCTTTCTGCTCCGTAAACACCGCAGCACAAGGCTTCACCTGTCGGGTCTAGTTCGAGTCTAGTCAGTCACCAATTCATTATGAGGCTAGGTCAGTGGAAGTACACCGTGTGAGTTGTTGTGGTCACAGTCACAGTGCTTGAGCCGTGAATCCTCTACAGTGTGTCCCCATTGTTGATCTAAGTGTTTTGCCTCGGTCGGTCTGTCCGCGACGGGGTGGGGGGTGTGAGGACCGGGCTTGCGGGTTGGTCACACACTGCTATGAGCTGTTCTGGGGACGCTGCCAACGCCCCCTCCACCGTGAGGGGGCGGGGGGGGGGGGGCTGTCACCCCTCCTCTCTGGGAGTGGGCGGAGGTATTCCTGGTCCCCGGCAGAACCGCCCCAGACCCGCCATGGGCCGCTGCCGAGGGCCGCGAGGGTCGAGGATGGGGCCGACATGCATCCCGTTGCCACGGCTGTATGGGCTTCCGGGTGGCGGGGTATGAGAATCGGAAGTGCAGCCTCGTGGTAAAATGATGGCACCGGAGCGGCGTTAGGCTGCGGTTAACGCTGTTCACCGCCGTTGACATGGGAGCAGACACTTGACGAAATAGAATTGGAAGCCAGGACTATAGAACAAGAGCGTGGAAATGCTTATACGACCACTGGTTGGTTCGGAGGAATGTCCCAAAAGTTGTGACATTCGGGAACGTTCCTCTTTGTGATATCGATATCACTCATGGTAATCAACGTTTTAAATTGATCATGCTCAGCTCACAATCTCTTTCGATATGCCTGCAGGCGAATACCGAGTGGGCATCAAGTTCAACGACCAGCACATCCCGGACTCTCCCTACAAGGTTTATATTTCCCCTGCCATGGGCGACGCGCACAAGCTGGAGGTTGCCCAGTTCCCCACCGACGTGGCGGTTGACAAGCCCGCCCAGTTCCTAGTGCACAAGAACGGTGCCAAGGGCGAGCTCGATGCAAAGGTGAGCATGGCTGGATCTAGACACCCGCTCAGTGGGGCACGCAGGGGACGGGGCAGGCCAGCCCGGGCCAGGCCGCCGAGCGTGCGCGCACGACGGGCGTGCCTCCCCCACCAGGCGCGCAGGCGACGGGATAGGCCAGCCCGCCGAGCGTGCGCGCACGACGGGCGTGCCTCCCCCACCAGGCGCGCAGG